GCCCCCGCCCCGCCAAACACACACACACGGAGCATCACCCCTTTCCTTTCTGTTCCTCCCACCCTCTCGTTCCCATCTCACTTCTCTTTCTCTTTCCCTCTGTTCTCTTGACGGCCGCGCGCCGCGCGCGCGCGCACGCCTTATCTCCCTCTCCCACCACGTCGAATCCAGCGTGACCCTTCAACACCCTTTTTTTTCCGTGCAGAGGCGCGCACGCGCTCCATCGGAACTTGAGCACACTGACTGGAGTGCCGCTTCGAGATACGAGCCCCAATAGGTCCCGCGAGCCGACTCTTATCCCAAATCACGCCTCCCGTAGTGAAGTGAACGCAAGCCACCCAAAAAGCGAGCCTTTTTATTTTTTTAGCATTCGTCTTCAAACATGGCCGTCAGCGCTAATTGTTAGCATGTCGAGAACGCTTTGCGGTGTTCGTTCGCGTGACGCTAAACAAGCGTTCCAAAAGGTCATTTCTCTTTGTTCGATGTTTAGTTTGACAGTAAATTGAACGGCTCCGAGCTTTCCGTCAATTGTTCCACGTTTGCTTCACGGGCGCCGATAGTGAAGGGAGTTGAACGGAGTTAGCCGCAGCCATCGAGTGCTCCGATCTCAAGTTTGCGCCAAGAAAACAATTGAACGCACGCAGGACGTCTCGTATCTCAAAAAAAAAAAAAAAAAAGGCCAATTGGTTTCCGGCTAACTCGGGGCGCCGCTCTACTTCGCCGACCTTCTCTTGTCTGTGGACGCTCAAATTCAAAACCTGTTGAACCCCATCAGAAGCTCAATGACGCACAAACGCGGGTGCGCGCGTGCGCAAGCGCACCGCGGCCAACGCGCGCCGAGACAAGAGCGCAGCGCAGACGGACGGACGGCTGCTGACATTTGAACTTGAGCGGACGGTTTGGCAAATTTCAACATTCAAACGTTCACGCTAATTAACGAGCGAGACAGCCCGAAGTGTGTCCGGCGGCAGGGGGAAAAAAAATCAGATGGAAGAGTGACAAAAGACACGAGAAGGGGAAAGAAAGGAGAGAAAAGCAGTTCGGAGGGAGGGTGCTGAGTGGAGGAGGATGAAGAAGAGGGAGGAGGAGGAGTGGGGGGGGGTGCCTGAAAGACAGAAAAGAAAAAGGGGAGCGAGGAAAGAGAGCCGGTGGGGGGAGGGAAGGAGGGAATGCGGCAGCAAAAAAAAAGGACGAGTATGAAAGGAAAGACTGGCTGCTGCTGCTGCCTGGCGCGGTCAGCTCGCTCAAAGGGAAGGAGGGAGACAATGCCCTGAAAGAAGGAGGGACACAAGCGTTTGGAAAAACGCGGGTGTAACAGTCTCTGACTGAAGGAGCTACCGAGTGCTGGGGGGGGGGGGGGGGGGGGGGGGGGGGGACTGGCCAACGAGGGAGGGAGAGGCTGTCGCACTTGGAGAGCAAAGGGAAAAGGGAGCGCGTTCACCACTCAACTTTCACATTTGCAAGCTTATGCGTACCTGTGCATGTGTGTGGGGGGGGGGGGAGCGAGCGGCTTTACGGGGTCAGCCGCATCCGGGCTCGGTCCGCCGACAAACACCTGCGGGTCCAAACGCAGGAGCGAGACGAGTGACGTGCGCGTGCGAGTGCGAGCGGACGTGCGGCCAGTTGCCACTCGGCGCGGCCGGCAACGTTCGCCACCGAATAACAGGAAAGGGCAAACCTTGATCAATCATCGGCGCTCGGGAGAAGGAAAAAAGAGAGAGCGAGCGAGGGGAGGGAGGGGGAGACGGGGAATCGGAGTGAGCGCAAAGGGAAGGGAGGGAAGGACTGTGTGCGCGCGCGGAGGGGGGGGGGCCTTGATAGCAGGAAGTCGAGGGAGAGAAAATAGAAGGAGAGCGAGGGAAGAAACAAAGAGATAAGAGCCCGAAAGACAAAGAAAGCGCACGCAAGAAACAACAAGCGACGCGTCCAGAAAAACAACACGGCGCTCGCCCATGGGGGGAAGGCCAAAGACAACTCCGGTTTTGGCCAACAACAAATTCTTACGGCCCGCTGACTTGGGGGAACTGCGCCCGCCCCCCCTTCCGCGTTTCGTCCGTCCGTTTTCCATCCTGTTGGCCGTCGTTGAGCCGGCGGCCCGCCATCACGGAAAATACGTCAGAGTCGGAAAAATCATGTTTGTCCGCCCGGATCCTCGGTAACCCCCCCTCCCCCGCCCCCCGTCAAAGGTTGACAAAGGGCCTCCTCGCAAGGACGCCCGCCCTCCTGCCGGGCCGCTGTCCCGCACGCTCGTCGACGTCTCCCTCCTCCCGCACAACCGATTCAAATGATCAGCCCGGTGACCGGGCCGATGCGCCGCGGTAGACCGGGAGGCAGACGGGAGGCCGGCCGGGGTTGCCCAAGTCCGGCCCTTGTGCACTTCCCGCGTCTTTGCCGTCCGAGTCCACCGACCGGCTCATCGGCGAGCTTTGCGGAAGCCCGGTCGCCATCGAGTGCGTCGCAAGAAGGAGACGAAGTCCATCGGGGCTCTCCGGGACCGGACTGGGGCAACCCCGTTGGGGGCAAACGACCGCTCCCGTAGCACGCTGGCGAGTCGCTGGAAAGACAAAGAGAGAGAAGAGGACATTTGGAGACAAATGTGCCCGCTTGCGACCGTAGCAGCACCGGGAGCTTAGTTGTCGCGACGCTTGTGTCACATCTTCAGCTTTTTGGTGCGTGTGCGCATGCGCGCTGATGGTGAGAATTCAACATCTTTTGAGCGTGTGCCGTGCCGGCAGCACCGCGGGCTGGTGTTTCGCGTTGTTATGGCGACAGAGCTCAGGTGAGCGCTTTCATACGAACACGATGAAAGAGAGAGAGAGAAGGAAGGTGACGCCGCATTTGAACTCGGATGGCCATCGAAGGCGTCTGCGTTAAAACCCGGTTCAGCCGGAGCCTCCGCGCTCATTTTTGGGCTTTTTTTTTTCACCACGGGCCCAAAATGCGTCCAATAAACGGCCCTGGCATGAACGCGCAGCCGGATCCGACGGCATTTGTCACGCATTTTACAGCTGCCAATCATCTTTGAAAACACAACGCGTGGCGGGAAGTGAGGGATGCCCGCTGACTCCATGACTCGATTTCGTTTCTTCCCAGGTTCCTGCAGAAAGCCACAAATGTGATCTGGCGGGACGCGTGAGGGACGAGGGCAAATCAGTACGGAGACGCTCGGAAAAGCGGCGCGGCCGTCTCTGTCCGGACGCTTTCGAGCAGGTACGTCGGAAACGAGCAGAAGGGAGGATGGCCGCTCGTCCGAGACATTGCGACATCCGCGGCGCCATCCAATCGGTCTCACGATTCCAAGGGACAGAAGAGAAGAGGCCCCCGCCGATCGCGTGAACGTAGAGCACGCGGAGGTGGCAGTCCGGGCGGCCGTGGACGCGGGCGTGACGGCCCGCGTCCCGTCTCCCTTCCGAACCGTTGAGCTGACGGCGCGTCGCCGAGTATTGGAGAAGAAGGCTCGACGCGGCATCGCACGCTTTTAGTCAAATGACCCGGAAGGCAAAAAGTCGCATTGCGCCGAGCAAATGACCTCGTTTGCGGTCTCGGGCCGCCGCACGGCGCCGGTCAAAGCGGAAGTCGAGAGCGGTCGAAGTCGGCCGTTGGCGCCCCGCCGGGCAATTTTGCTCACGTGCTCTCGGCACGGCGAACGACGTGGCGACAGAAGGCGCACTCCAATTTGGAGCAGGTCGAACTTGTGGCGCACCGGGCGCGACGCCGTTCGCGCCCGGCGCGTTCTGCCCTCCGCCGACTGCGTGCGGCGGATTCATTCATAAACATGACACGGCCGTGCGCGGAACTCTCCCAATCGTTGCCCAAATCACTTCAGGGAAAGCGTGTTTGCCAGGGAGGGCTGTTGTCACGCGAGCAGGGGTCGAAGGCGGACGTCGTCTCGCCGTGTTTTTTTTCCAAAGGTACTTTCAAACGGCCGCGCCCTTCGGCTCGTCGGAGGCTCGCGGCGCCTTCGACGGAAGGTCAGAGAGTGGACGCCAAAATAGCCCGAGTGGAAGCAAACAAAGGCGATTGGCTTCCACCGTGAGGCGAGCAGACATAGGCAGTTCGGCCTGTAAATAAACAATTATCTGCGCGAGAATCTCTCGGCTTCTCATTGAAGCTCGTCCTGTGGGTTTTTTTTTTTCATTCTCTTCCTCTTTTGACAGCAAGTCTCCTGCAGACAGGATGCCGAAAGGAGCCGAAAGAAATCATCATCGTAATTAAAAAAAGAATCAAAGACAAGCCTCCCCCCTCCATTCATGGCGAGGCCTGAAATGGGAAGACCGAATATTAGCAATGAAATTGCTCTGCTTGGAGACAACACGGAGAGCTTGGGAAGAAAAAGAAAGAAAGCCCACCGAGTATAAAGCAGGAAAGACAGAGTTGAGGGAGGAGAGGAGAAGAGCATTCAGCGAGGAGGATATAAAAGGAACGGGAGGGGGCTGTGGG